GGGTGGGGGGGAGCAGGGGGGGGATTCGGGGGGACGGGCGGCGGGGGGGGCACTCTCACACTCGTCGTAGAAGCCGTAGAGGCGGTTGATGCTGGGGCTCTCGTGGTTCCCACGCAGCAGGAAGAAGTTCTCGGGGTATTTCAGCTTGTAGGCCAGCAGGAGGCAGATGGTCTCCAGCGACTGCTTGCCCCGGTCCACGTAGTCGCCCAGGAAGAGGTAGTTGCTCTCAGGCGGGAAGCCTCCGCACTCGAAGAGCCGCAGCAGGTCGTAGTACTGCCCATGGATGTCACCTGGGGCGGGCGGGAGATGAGGGAGCAGCTACCACAGCCAGGCCTAACCCGCCGTCCCCACAGGCCGGATCCACCCCTGGCCTCCCCACCCAGCCCAGCCCAGCCCCAGCCAGCGACCCCCTGAGAGTGAACAAGGGGTGCAGGGAATCCCCCCATGGCCGCTGGGAGGACGGGTCCCACCCCCGACCTCGCTCACTCACCGCAGATCTTCAGCGGTGCCTCCAGCTCCAGCAGGATGGGTTGGCTCAGGAAGATTTCCCGCGCCATGTGGCAGAGGTCCCGGATCTCACGCTCCGCCATCTGCACGTTCTTGCCGGGCCGGGAGCCATGCACTGCAACACAGCACAGCGGGCGTCTCTGCCGGGCCGCGGTCAGAGCCCCCGGACTGCTCACAGACCCCCCGCAGCTCAGGGCAAGGCCCACTCCAGCTGTGATGGTCCCAGGGGCCTGAGGCTCTGCTGGGCAGGCCTGTGGACACCCCCGCCCCCCCCGGGCAGGGTAACAGGTGACTCGAGACCAGCAGAGGGGGAGGCCCAGCCTAGGGCCTCACCCGCTCTGTGCGGCCGGCTCCAGAGGCGCAGTGAGGCTGGACCCAGACCCACCACGGGCCCCTCGGCCAGAGCCCAGATGGGATCGTCAGACACTCAGCCAGGCAGTGGAGACCCGCCCCCCCTACAGCGGAAAGGCCCCGCGCCCCATTCCCTGGCCCCTCTGAGCCAGCCAGTCCCCCACCCTGGGGCAGGATCAGAGCCGGTGCCCACTAGAGGGCCCACCCCCCGGCTCCTGGTCAGACGCAGGGGTGGCCCAGCAGTTGATACTGGCCCGTGAGGCCGGGCACCTGGGTTCTTTCCCCGTTCTGTAATCTTGGGCTCCTCCCTTCCTCTGTGCCTCAGTTTCCCCACACGACACACAGGACTGATGCCTCTGCTTTGCCTGTGTGACGCATGGAGATGTGAGCTCAGATAATCTGCCGCTCAGCAACTGCTCCGGTCCAGGGTGCAGCCCCAGGGGTCAGGTGCCACCCAGAAAACATAGCTAGGGTCACCCCACAACACCCCAGTATTATAAGTGTGCAGGGACGTAACAGCTAATCTCCCCCTCCCTCCACAGCACTGGGAGAGCAGAGTTTGCACTGGGACGACCACCCCCTCACTCCCCCCCAGGTCTCCCGTCCCTCCACAAACTCCCCCTCCAGCTGAGATCAAGTCCCCACCCAGGCCCCGGGAACGGAAGAGTCCCTAGCTCCTTGGGGGCCGAGGAACCGCGTGGCCCACCCGGGACTGCCGGGAACTGTACAAGCCGTGGGGGAGGCAGCAAGCGGCAGAGCCGCTACCGGAGCCCCGGTCCCCCCCTCCGCGTAGGGCCAGCCCCACCCCCCGCCCCGGCACGCGCTGCAGGCCGGGAGACCCAAGCGAAAACAAAGGACCCCACAAAGTCACCACAGGACTGCCCTGAGGGCCCGGCCCATTCCGGCCCCCCGCGGCCGCCCTGCCACAACCCAGCCTGTGCATGGTGGGGGGCGGGGGCAGGATCCAACCGGACAAGTCCCCCCAGCACTGCCCCACGCCCTCAATTAGGGTGACCAGATGCCCTGATTTTATAGGGACAGTCTCGATATCTGGGGCTTTTTCTTACATAGGCTCCTATTACCCCCCCACCCTCATCTCATGCTAGACGCCCCCCGCCCCGGGGGCCCCCCCCTTGCACCTTCCAGTAGCCGCTCGATGAGTGAATCCAAGTTGAGTTTCTCGCCCTCCAACATGGCGGCTCTGCAGGAGGGGACCTGGTCTCATAGGCACTGACTTCACCTCTGCCCGGTAGGTGCTCGACTACCCCCCCCCTCGCACCCACACCTGCACCTGTACCTGCACCTGCACATGCACCTGCCCCGCCCTCACCCCGCCCCCCCAACGTCCCCGCCCCCCCCTGCACCTGCACCTGCACCTGTCCTCACCCTGCCCTCAGTCCTCCTGTTCCTGCCTCTTCTCCTCCCCCCCCGCCCGAAA